AAAAAAAAACCTGACCTATGGGGTTTGGAGAGCTACTGGTAGTGAATGCATCAAGGTGCAGTGGGGGGTGACAAGCTCAGAGACGGCATGGAAGCTCCACCCCTCTTCCCCCATATCTCTCCCTATGCATCTCTTCCACTTGGCTGTTCCTGAATTGTAATCTTGTATAAAAAAAAAACATTAATAGTAAGTAAAGTGCCTTCCTGAGTTCTGTGACTCCTTCTAGCACATTATTGAACCTGAGGAGGGGTTTGTGGAAACCCCTGATTTATACCCAGTCAGTCAGAAGTATCAGGACTGACTGGCCTCTTAAGTGGGGTCAGTCTCGTGGCACTGAGCCCTTAACCTGTGGGGTCTGATGCTCGCTCCAGGTAGTTAATCTCAGAACGAACTAAATTGTAAGACACCCATCTGGTATCTGGAGAGGTAATGAAGTGGTTTTTAGTATGAGGAAAAACCCTACATATTTGGTGTCAGAAGCATTTTGTGCTTAGAAACAGATCAAAGTAGGAGTCAAAGTCCTCTCCTGTATTCCACTCCTCGTTTCTACTTCTGGAATAAGCCAAAGAAACTCAGGAAAGGATGGCAAAGATACTGATTGCTCTGTCCCAGTGTCTCGCTCCTCTTTAAGGCTGTTGGTCCCCCAGCGCCAGAAGACAGATCTAATTGCCTCTGGGGTCTGCTGCAGTTGGAACAGTAAAACCAAATTCAGCACCAGGGAAAATTCCATGGCTCTCTCTGGTTTGGAGGTGTGCCTCCCACTCACCTTGATCATAATATGGCCAACCTGAGATGATGAATTCTGGTGACAGATAAGATGTCATCAACTCCACTACTCAAATTGGTTGAGTGTTCAGTTATTGAGAAAGGGTATGGCTGAGCTTCCTGTTTGCTGGTTAAATAAACCTCAGGTGTCTTCTTTATGCAAAGCACTGTGTTAGCCTTTGGTAAACAGAGCTTACTTTGATGTTGCAACGGAGTATATAGTTCAAAAGGCAGAGAGATATTTCCTTTCTTTTGTTTTGTCTGCCAACTCAAAGTTACTTGCCTAATTCTGCTTTTAAATCCAAGAGATCTAAAGTTTGATGGCTGTCACTCTTCAGTTGAAGCTTGTCCTCCAAAAGAAATATGGTGAAGTCCTAGCCCCCAGTACCTGAGAATGTGATCTTATTTGGAAATGTTATTTTATTTATCTTTCTATTATTTTATTGTTATTTTAACTTGATTGCCTCTGTTAATAGGTGACAGACCTATTTCCAAATAAGGTCTTTTCAGAGGTAATCAAGTTAAAATGACACAGGGAACTATATTCAATATCTTGTAGTAACTTATAATGAAAAAGAATATGAAAAGGAATATATGTATGTATATGCATGACTGAAACACTACGCTGTATACCAGAAATTGACATGTCATAACTGATTATATTTCAATTAAAAAAGAAGAAAATACTTATGTCCTTCAACCTTTCTACCGTCATGTTACAGTGTTAGAGTATTCTAAATCTATGTACTTACTCACCTTTACCAATGGGTTACTTAATTAGCATCCTTCTGTTTCAGCTTGAAGATCTCCTTTCAGCATTTTTTGCAAGGCAAGTTTAGTGATGATAAACTCCTTCAGCTTTTGTTTGCCTGGGAGAGTCTTTAACTCTCCTTCGCTTCTGAAGGGTAACTTTGCTGGATGGGGTATTCTTGGTTGGCAGGGTTTTCTCTTGGGCACTTTGAATATATCATTCCTCTCCCTCTTTGTAATATTTCTGCTGAGAAATCCACTGGTAATCTTAATGGGGGTTCCCTTGTAAGTTACAAACTTCTTTTCTCTTACTGCTTAAGATATTCTCTTCATGTTTAATTATTGACAGTTTTTTTTAATACTTACTTTTTCTTTAATATTCCTTTTTTAATGGAGATACCGGAGATTGAATTCAGGTCTTTTTGCATGCTAAGTTGTTAAGCATGTGCTCTAGCACTGAGCTATGCCCTCACCCCCAATTTTTTACAGTTTTATTATAGTGTTTTGGAGAGAATCTGTTTGAGTTTAGTTTTTAGGGGTCTATGAGCTTCATGAACTTGGATATCTAAATCTCTCCCCAGATTTGGGAAGTTCTCAGCCATTATTTCTTCAAGATTCTACTCCCTTCTCTCTTTCTCCTCCTTCTGGGACTTCAATAATTTGCAGATTTCTTTTTATGGTGTCCCATACTCTTTTTTCATTCTTTTTATCTTTTTCTCCTCTGAACTGGATGATTTCAAACTTCCTGTTTTCTAACTCATGGATTCTTTCTTCTGCTTGATCCATTCTGATGTTAGTTCTCTCTATTGCATTTTTTTCATTTCATCCACTGTATTCTTCAGCTGAAGAATTTCTGTTTGGTTCTTTTTTTATGATTTCTATCTCTTTGTTAAACTTTTCATCTTGTTCATGTATTGATTTCCTGATTTTTAAATTTTTCTTTGTTTTCTTGTAGCTCACTGAGTTTCCTTAAAACAGCTGCTTTAATTCTTTATAAGTAATTTGCAGTTTGGGTATCACTCGGTGACAACTCTAGTACAGTACAGAGGGTGAACTCGGGTGTCACGTGTGGATAACTGTAATCCAGTACAGATCATAGGCTCTGGAGTCCAAGCAGCTGGGTGTAAGTCTCACCCAACCACTCATTGGCTATATAATTCCAGTAAGATTAACAATTTTATCCAGTTTATTAGTGCCTATGAGGTATGGAGTGGGAGAAGACTATAGAAGAAAATAACTTCTGCATGTAATTTGTATAATCATGTTGTGACGAAAGGCTGTAGTACCAGGATACTGGACACTGTATCAGGTGATCGGGATATTACTGACATGTAAGCTCTCAATAATTATTGGCTATTCACAGTATCATTTTGATTACTATCACTATCTAGAATTATTTGGCAACTATAAGGAATGAAAAAATATTGAAATATTTAACTACTTGGTTAAAATGTAACATTTGATCTTTATATATAGATTATTCTTTCTGCCTAAACACATAGCTACTTCCACCTCTTTTCTTGGCTAAGTTTCACTCAAAACAATTTTTTTTTTAATGAAGGCACTGGGGATTGAACCCAGACCTCATGCATGCTAAGCATACACTCTATCACTGAGCTATACCTGCTCCTTAAGTTCCACTCAATTGAGGTAACAGTTTAAATATCACCTCCTTTCATAACTTCACCTGTCCCCTAAACTTGAGTGAGTTTCCCCTCCTCTGTCTTTTCATAGGTTCCTTCATTTTCACCTTCATAGCACTTATTACGCTGTTAGACATGGTTTGGTTTCTTGTCTTTCTTCCTCAAAAGCACAAAAGGTCAACAGCTGAGTCAGACTTAAATCTGTGGATTCTAAGCACCTTGTGTGACACATAGGTGCTCAGTCTATTGATCTAGCTCAGGAATAAACAGCAGGGAAAAAAAGATGCTGATCGTTCTCTTGACTATAAAATATTCTAATTTAAACGCTATTGCCTTAAAATTTGGGTTTTATAATAAAATTATAACTGAATAATAAAAACTAAGGAGAGGGTGTTGAAGGTTTCAAGCATTCATTCAAGGACACCTCACATTTCAGAGACCTCCCATTAGCAGGCAGAAGGGCTTAGGGAGCTGCGCTCCTGGACGGAAACCACAGTGTGGAAATGGAGACTCTAGAATTACAAGCAGAAAAATCAATTGTACTGGGAATTTTTAAGTTACTGTGCACTACGTACAGACGCACATAGACAGGTACGCAGGTCAGGTCTTACGTCCATCTACTGTGTAAATATCAGGCCACGAGACAAAATAAAAGCAACGCCAACACAGGAAGGCATCACATGGGTTAATCAGAGAGGCGGATTTCCCTGTCTTCTCGTCACCCTTCAGAACATTGTTTTCGCACAGAGGTTGAGAAAGGCTCTTACGTGATGTGTTCCTGGTGCCTGGAGCCTTGCACGGTTTTGGCACCGCCCCCGCCCCCGCCCCGCGCCCCCATCTCAGTTCTTTCTCATTTACATAATCTTGAAAAGAACAATAAACGGCGAGCACACCCCTCACCGTGGATCGTCCAACACGGAGACGAACAGCCAGCCAAACAAACAACGGAGGAAAATCGGCCTCGGGGAAAGAGGCGGGAGCAGCTGGCCACTCGCACCATGCCGTCTGGGTGGCTCTCCCAGTCGTCGGCTCCGCCGTGGTGCTGGGTGCTGGACTGACACCCTGCGGCCTGCCGGGGCCTTTCCACATCTGGAAGAGCAGCGCCGAGGGTTACAAACCCGGCAGGGCCACGCCCAGAGGCCCGCAGGCCCGTGCGAGTCCTGAGCCCGGCGCATCTGAGGCTGCACGGGGAGGGCGGCTGTGCGGCCAAACGTCACTCAGAATCCCTGCGCCCGAATGACAACGGTAAGAACAAAAGAAACGGACTATGAGAGCTCTGATGCTGTTGTCCACAGCATCAGAAACGCATGAGCAACACTCCTGACTTCGACTCAAGTGAGAACATTCTCGGGGAAATAAACAAGTCACATGTGCGCTTTTCTTCGTTCGGTGGGAATGCCTCCCAGACCCACGAAGCAGTCTCAGGACAACAGTGTTGTCCAAATTGTGAAGGGGCTGAATGTCATCCGTGGTCAACTTTGTTACACGTATTTGATCACAGATTTTTTCAAAAAGCACCCGTGCTGACTTCAAATACTTAATCGAAACCTAAAAACTATTTTCTTAACTCAGACTCTGAGAAGTCAATAAATATTTCAAGAAATTTTTTTAAATTTGGGTTTTGGATCATTCACTCGATGGTCATAATTTTGGCTGACTGAAACTCACAGGGAAGTGGTAGAAACCTAGATGTTTCTTTCCTTTCTTTTTTTAAAATATATTTTTATTGACGTTTAGTCAGTTTACAATGCTGTGTCAATTTCTGGTGTACAGCACGATACTTCAGTCACATAGGAACATACATATATTCGTTTCCATATTCTTTTTCACCATAAGTTACTACAAGATATTGAATATAGTTCCCTGTGCTGTACAGTAGAAACCTGTTGTTTATCTATTTTATATACAGTAGTTAGAATCTGCAAATCTTGAACTCCCAATTTATCCCTCCCCACCCCCTTCCCCCGCTGGTAACCATAAGTTTGTTTTCTGTGTCTAGGAGTCTGTTTCTGTCTTGTAAGTACGTTTGTTTTGTTTGTTTTGTTTTGTTTTTAAATTCCACCTATAAGCAATATCATATG